GTTGCCATAGCTTTTAAGTTTCTAGTGCAGATGCTGCTTTTTTTTAAATACAAACCAGTAGAGCCACTGTCTAAGTAGCTGCAGAACTGTAGCTCTCCAAAAAATAAATATTGACAGTGTCACCCAGAGAAGAAACTATATATTGTGCACAAAAAGTTGTGCTATGTTCTAGATTTATTTCATCAAATTCTTACCTCAACTGCATAAAAACTTGATTTCAAAAAATTCCTTGGATCTCTATCAACTTTTGTGGTAGGTGACATCTGCATGAAGTGGGTCTTGCCACTCAGAATGGCAGTACGTATAAATAGGCAAAAATTTTGATGTTCTCAATTTCAGGTTCAAGAGGGCTAGTAATGATGCTTGTGAGGAATGTTTTGTTTTGGAAATAGTAAAAGAATAAGTTAGAATATGTTTATAATATTTGAGATTGCATTTTAAAGATACAGAGAAATAAATTTGATAAATATACAATTTTTTCAATGGGATGATTGTCCATCCCCAATTTTTTTTTATCCAGTCTAACTGCAGTCTCATCAGAGACTTCTGGTTTACAAATTTGAATTTGCATCATTTAAGAACTTTACAAAATGTTGTACAGTTAAACTTTGGTAGCTTGAACACTGATATATGGAATACCATGGATATGTCGAATTGAGTTAGAAGTCCCAACTATGTTTTCTATATCAATTTTAACTTTGATATCTTGAAAACTCTAATATCTCAAATAAGTTTTTTGGTCCCCTTGAAGTCGAGATAACAAGGTTTGACTGTATTTGTTTTTTTTAAGTAATAAAATTTTTTCATAGTGGATTATTCTCAATTCTAATTTAATTGAGGTTCTCTATGAATTAAAACTGAAGAATACATGTATTTCTGAAATACAAACATGATGAGAAGAGTTATAGAACAAGAAAGGAAAGTGATTTGTTTCTATAGGTATCATAATACATTCAGTATATGACAGCTTAGAGTTTTATTTTGAACAGATCATGGGTCACATTAACAGATTATTCTTGGCTGTAAAATTGTTGATTGCATGACATTCTTTTCTCTTTTTTTAAGTTCTTGCTGGATGAAGATAAAGGTTTAAGAATGGAAATCCCACCAATATTTCAAACTCTTCTTGGGCCATCTCTAAAACGGGTAGGAATGTTTTGCTTTATAAAATAAGAGAATCAGATCCAATGAATGACAACCTCAAATAAATGCAGGAATGTTTGGTTGAGTGGTGTTAATGTGTCAAAGAATTTGGACTTTTGATGCTGAGATTCTATAAATCTGTGATATTTCAAACAAAACATCTTGGTTCAATCCAAAAGGTACAAGTTTGGAGAAAAGATTTGTGGTACAGTGTATTTGTTGTTGTGTTCTGAAGGTTGACAGTGTGATACGCCCTGGTTTGATCTCTCATACCTGGACATCACTTAACTTGCCTACCTACTTCATCCAAGTTAAAGAAGCCTTGGCTGAGCTGCAAATTATTGTCAAACAGGTTTGAAAAATTTGCATTTATTTACAATATTAAAAAACCCAAGATTTTCTTGTTAAAGCAATTTTTTCCCTTATGGTTTACATAAATACAGCCTTCTTCATTTATTATTAAATCACTTATTTTTAGTTTTTGGAGCAATGTTTTCAAAATTGTTTAGATTTTACACAAAAAAATATACTTTGAAATTGGAAGCTAAGCTAACTAGTATTGAGCCAATGAATTAAATTGCTAAACTTTCATAATAAATATTATTATTGCTAAATGGAAATTTTCAAGTAAAAGTAGAGGTCATATTTTGAGTTTTAGATTATTGGTGTGCTAAAATTTTGAAGACTGTGTTGATTACTAAAATTAAACTTACCAATATAAAACTAAATATCAACAGTCCCTAGTTAAATAATATTTTTTGAAATAACATTTTTATTACCTATTTTCAATCAAATCAATGAAAGTTTGACTAAATTAAAAATACTGTGCTGCATGTTTACTTCTTTTAAAAAAATGTTACCATCTCTTAATGCAAACAGATCTGTGATATCAAAACAACCAGAATTGACTACATGTTAAAAGAGATAAGTGAGACATTGCTGTGTGACTTGCCAGAGAGACATCCACTGACTGTATCAGAATTTCTACAGAAGATGGAGGTAAGCAGTCGTACCGTGTCTTTTGCCATGGTATTGAAACTGCTGTTTATAAAGCAGTGCAATTTCAACCACCATTTTATTTTGATGAAAGCAATACAGCATAACACATTGATTTACAGAAGTATTGAAACAAGTTTCATTTACCTGGAATTAAAAAAAACTATTCCTCAATTGGCTTTTCTGGTATAATTATTCATCACAGATATGGTTTGATCATTTTTATCATTATTTATTTCTCCAGTTTGATGTTTGGAGTCCCCGTCTTTTATAGTGCACTTGATTTGAGCCGGAAATCTTGTTCAACTTATGCAAAAGGTTGAATTTAGAATTAAGCAACATTAGTTCACATTGATTGAACTTCATACATCACTAGAATAAATATTTTTACATGAGTGTTGATCTTGAATTTCTTGAAAATAATACATGTATAGCGAAGACTTACACTATCCATGAACTTTTCGAACAACCCTCGTAATTATCTAACTTCATAAATGAAATAAATAAAAAAAGAAATAAACTTTCAATGAAGATATTTATAATCAATGATGAATCATTTCAGGAATACACTGATCAAATGGCTATGGATATTAACAAAATGAGCCAAGTGGTTGAGGATGCTGTAAAGGAATTGGTTAGAATATTTTTACAACGAGCTCATTTGGAACAAAGCTTACTTTTAGAGAGTGAAGGCAGTTCAGACAGAAGTGACACAACCTGTAAGTTGATATGTTTGTGATATGAGGCAGAAATGATTTTTGCTATTGGCCAGAATGCTCAGTTGAGCATCTCTCTAGAATTCAGGGGTTCCAGAGTTGTATTCTTATTTGGTTCTTACCACCTGTTTCATTTGAGGCTGTGACCAGGAATTCTGATTAAAGCCAAAGCTCTGCTAACTTCAGTCTAATACAGTGAAGGAAAAGGTACTCAGTTGAGCATCTCTCTAGAATTCAGGGGTTCCAGAGTCATATTCTGATTTGATTCTTACCACCTGTTTCATTTGGGGTTGTGACCAGGAATTCTGATTAAAGTCAAAGCTATGCTAACTTCAGTCTAATACAGTGAAGGAAAAGCTAGATTTAAGATTTACAGCATATCTTTTACTTGCATCTTTTCTTCAGGATTAACCACATTTTTGTTAATAAATCTCCTTAGCAGAGCCAATCTGATTTCATTATGAGGGCTGCCATGTAAATGTACCCAAAATTGATAGTGATTTTATTATACCCCCGCTCCAAAGGAGAGGGGGATATACTGTTTTACCCTTGTGTGTCTGTGTGTCCATGTATCTCTCTATCCATTACAAATTTTTGTCACAGTTTTCTTGGCAACTCTCATCGCAGATGCTTGAAATTTTAGCACACTCTTTGTCTAGGCATGACATATGATGGGATTCATTTTTGTACAAATCCAATGTCAACTTCCTGTTTATCTGTGTGTCTGTCCATAACAAATTTTCATTGCTGTTTTCTCAGCAACTACTCATCACAGGTGTTTGAAATTTCAGCACACTCATTGTCTAGGCATACCACATGGTGGAATTCATTTTTGTACAAATCTGATGCCAACTTCCTGTTTTTCTGTGCGTCTGTCTGTACCAAATTTTCTTCTCAGTCTTCTCAGCAACTACTCATTGCTGATGCTTGAAATTTAAGCATGCTCTTTGTTTAGGCATGCCAAATGGTGGGATTCATTTGGAACAAATCCGATGTCAACTTCCTGTTTATCCACGTGTCTGTCTTTACCAAATTTCTGTCACAGTTTTCTCAGCAACTACTCAAGGCAGATGCTTGAAATTTTAGCACACTTTTTGTTTAGGCATGCCACATGGTGGGATTCATGAGAGCTTATATTCACATCAGAGTAGGGGCATTACTAGTGAGCATTGGCTCACAGACTTCTTCATGGTTAAGCTAAATCTGGCATTATTTAATAAGTACAATTAATTACAATTAAGAAATTCCATATTTATCCCAGATTTTTGTTTTAAAAGTTAAATTTTGCTCTTGTATTTGTTTTCTCTAGAAGTGCATCTTATCCAACTATTAGCCATATGTGACAATGCACTGATATTTCTCAAGCAACTTCAGACTTTAAATTTGAGCCTGGATATTGTGTGATGTATCTTGATGACAAATTTCAGCTGTTTCTACTAAGTTGTCAGCCATGACAGAGTCAGATGTTATTCCAGTTCATGAAGAGAGTGATGTCAGTGATGAGCAGCAGATCAGGGAAGCTTGTGATGAGCTGAGGGAGTTTTTCAATCACAGATTAGTGGAATCTCTCTTGAAAGCCACTAGACATTCCTTAGACATGATGAGAAGGAGATTCTTCTCTGGGTAAACCAAATAAAAATTGTAGCCTGAGGCCTGGTCTTTAAAAAATTGTTGGATTGCCCTCTCATGACTGACTGGCTAAAATTGGTTCGACTCAAAACTTTTTTTTAATCTCCAGGAAACAATTATTTTTTTTTACACATTCTGAAAAAATACATTTTGAAAATTCAGCATTGATGTTGAAATTTTTTCTGAGAAAAAAAAAATTCTCACCCACCTACCTACCAACCCATTTTTTTATCCTGACTTAGGAGAGGGTAAACAAACAGTATTTTAAAGTTGGCCTGATCATCCAATCTATAGCATATTTGTCTTTCTTTTAACATCCTATTTTAACCATCTCCAGATATACTGAATTCAAAGGTTTTAACTTAAATTTGGAAAAATACATCTGAAATACTATATATTTAAACAGGTTTATGGTTTTACTGCATTTGTAGGTCAGTAGAGTCACTCATGTGACTATTGCTGGTTTTAACTCATCAGATAGTTTTGCAAGTAATTTTTATAAACTGAAACACTCGAATGTTGTAAGTAAAATTAACACAATAGGTATCAAGAATATTTCAATTTCAATTTGGATTTGTTGGATCTGCCCATAGCTATTTATCAAAAGAGCAAAATGGTTGTTATTTGAAGTATTTTTCTTGCCCAAGCCTTCCAAAATATCTGGATTTTGTGTTTTGTTTTTGTTTGTTTTTAGCTCTACAGGTCAGAGACCAGAAGAGCTTATGCGATAGTAATGTGTCTGTCATCCATCCCTCTGTCTGTCTGTTTGTCTGTAAACAATTTTTATGTCCCACCTTTCTGTAGTTCAAAGGCAGTTGGCATGTTGTTGTCCCAAATACAGCACAGAAACATTTGAAAAACTCTTTGATGCAGCAGTTTTATGATCATCATCACATATTATAAGCTGCCTATTGCAAGACCAAAAAAGAATTTAAATTTGAAAAAGAATGTTTTTTTAAAAGTCAGCATTTTGAAAATTCTATGGCCTTGATAATAATCTAGTTGTTGGTTACTTGCACTTCAAACCACTTTGCATTCAATACTAAAACTGCTCTGTTTCAGTACAATTATATAAAAGGTCATTGCTTAGACAGATTTTTTTTTTATTTTTGCAATGTAAACATGTAGATCTCAATATTTGAGTTTGCTTTATTTTGAGGGTTATATTATACATTTGTTGACTAGGATTGTCAGACCCAAGAACCAAACTGTTTGTTTGCCTTAGGCCATTAGATTGAATTAAGGCATACAGTTTGGTTCGAGGGGTCAACAAAACTGATTTTGCCTGAGAATATAGTCAGAAAATGCTTTGTTATGGGTTTTATTCTGCACTGGCTTCCATAATTGTGGTAATTGATAATATAAAACTGCTCACGCCTACAGTGTGACCTAAAAACGTGGTCCAATATCTCATCGACAGGTCCAATATCTCAATCAGCGGTCCAACTTCATTTTTATCTCTTCTGAGCCAAAGACTCTCAGAGCTAATGCTATGGCCATTTGTGCGGTGTGCATAAACTTTTTAGAATATGGGCCATAACTCAAGAAGCCCTTGGCCAATTATTGTCAAATTTGTCACAGGGTATCTTTGGTCCAAGGGCTGTGACCCTTAAACAAGGGGAGATAATTAGGTAAATAAAAGCAAAAGTACTGGTTGCTAAAAATCTTCTTCTCAAGAACCACTGGGCAGATTATCATCAAACTTACACAAAAGGATGATTATATGTTGAAGATTAAAAATTATTAAAAGCATCATCCTGGGGCAAAGGGCGTGGTCTCAAGGTCACTTCAAAGTTGACCAAAAATTACATTTTATTAAAATGTTGAAATTTTGCTTACTATAAGGACTAGGATCATCAAATCTTGTCAGTTGATGCATCTAAGGTCTTCATATCATGTTGACTAAAATTTAAATTTTGCAGCCATTCTTTTTCAAAATGATTTAGAGGCATATTTTGAACAATTTAAGGCCTATGATCATCAATCTTTGTCAGTTGATGCATCTAGGGTCCTCGGAGTACGTCAACTAAAAAGTAGGTCACTTTGACCTACTTTTTGAATTTAATGGCTATTATTTTTGAAAACATTTAAGGTCATTAATTCGAATACTGAGAGGTTTAGTATCATTAACTATTGTAAGATGACCTACTTTTTAGCTCACCTCGACGAAGTCAAGATGAGCTTATGCTATACCCCCGGCATTGGCATCGGCGTTAGCATCCCTGTTAAAGTTTTAGGAGCAAGTCCCATTCCCAAGTAACTATAAGCCCTACCTGGACCAAACTTGCATGGATGATGCATCTGGGGATGGACACTACCACACTTGCTTCAGATGCTGGATCTGACCTAGATTTTCCAGATGAGTGACTAGGTTAAAGTTTTTGGAGCAGGTACCCAATTATAAGTCCTACCTGGACCAAACCTGCATGGTTGATGCATCAAAGGAAGGACACTACCATACTTGCTTCAGATGCTGGATCTGACCTACATTTTCCAGATGAGTGACTAGTTTAAAGGTTTTGGAGCAGGTCTATTCCCAAGTGATTATTTAAGCCTTACCTTGACCAAACTTGCGTGGATAATGCATCTAGGTATGGACGCTACCACACTTGCTTCGGATGCTGGATCTGACCTAGATTTTCAAGATGAGTGACCAGGTTGAAGTTTTTGGAACAGGTACCTAACTATAAGCCTTACCTTGACCAAACTTGCATGGATGATGCATCTTGGGATGGACACTACCACACTTGCTTCAGATGCTGGATCTGACCCAGATTTTCCAGATGAGTGACCAGGTTCAAGTTTTTGTAGCAGGTCCATTCCCAAGTAACTATAAGCCCTACCTGGACCAAACTTGCATGGATGATGCATCTGGGAATGGACACTACTATACTTGTTTCGGATGCTGGATCTGACCTAGATTTTCCAGATGGGTCACTAGGTTAAAGTTTTTGGAGCAGGTCCATTCCCAAGGAACTATTAGACCTACCTGGACCAAACTTGCGTGGATAATGCATCTATGTATGGACGCTACCACACTTGCTTCGGATGCTGGATCTGACCTAGATTTTCCAGATGAGTGACCAGGTTAAAGTTCTTGGAAGGTACCTAACTATAAGCTTTACCTTGACCAAACTTGCATGGATGATGCATCTTGGGATGGACACTACCACACTTGCTTCAGATGCTGGATCTGACCTAGATTTTCCAGATGAGTGACCAGGTTAAAGTTTTTGGAGCAGGTCCATTTCCAAGAAATTATAAGCCTTACCTTGACCAAACTTGCATGGATGATGCATCTGGGGATGGACACTACTATACTTGTTTCGGATGCTGGATCTGACCTAGATTTTCCAGATGAGTGACCAGGTTGAAGTTTTTGGAGCAGGTCCATTCCCAAGAAACTATAAGCCCTACCTGGACCAAATTTGCATGGATGATACATCTAGGGATAGACACTACCATATTTGCTTCAGATGCTGGATCTGACCTAGATTTTCCAGATGAGAGACCAGGTTAAAGTTTTTTTGGAGCAGGTCCATTCCCAAGGAACTATTAGCCCTACCTGGACTAAACTTGCATGGATGTTGCATCTAGGGATGTACACTAACTAACCTGCTTCGGATTCTGAATCTGACCTAGATTTTCCACATGAGTGAATTTTAGCCATATTTTAACCAAATTAGCATGGATGATAATGTATCTAGAGATGGAAACTTCCAGACTTGCTTTGGATTCTGAATCTTATGTTGATGGATATTAATCTTGGGATGTACACCAACTAGGAAAAAAATATGATGTGAGATTTGCCTTACATATAGATAACATTCGTCGAGGTGGGCTTAGTAATCTTTGATTATCTATGTTTGAACTTTGCAGGCATTCAAGTTCAAAGTGTGTTAGAAGTATATTTTGGACATTTTAAGGCCTATGATCATAAAACATTGTAAGTTGTTGCATCTTCGGTCCTCAAAAATCGTCATTTGAAAACTAGGTCATTATGACCTACTTTTGAAGTTTTATGCCTATATTTAAATATTTTGGGTACTGTTTGGCTTAGAATCATTAAACTTTGTCAGTTGATATATCTTGGGTCCTCAAAGTAGGTCGACTTAAAAGTAGGTCACTGTGACCTACTTTTCAATTTATATGGCTTTAATTAAATATTTTGGGTACTAATTGGCTAAGAATCATCAAACTTTGTCAGTTGATGCATCTTTGGTCCTAGGAGTAAGTTGACTAAAAAGTAAGTCACAGTGTCCTAGTTTTGAAAATTTATGGCTTTAATTAAATATTTCAGGTACTAATTGGCTTAGAATCATCAAACTTTGTCAGTTGATGCATATTGGGTCCTCGGGAGTACAAGAACTGAAAAGTAGTTCACCGTGACCTACTTTTGAAATTTTATGGCTATATTTAAATATTTTGTAACCCTCTTTATTATAGATAGATATTTTCAAACGCTGACTTTAAGAATTTGATACGTTGCTATGTGTATCAGAATTGCAATCTAGTTAGTACCATGATGCTATGTTTGCAAATATGTTTTAAAACTGGTCAAAAGATCAATATTTTGAATGATATCTGTGTAGACATGTGTATCCATGTGGTTTTGAAACATGTTTTTAGAGGCAGACGTTCTACTTTGATGCACTTTGATGAAAGTGTAGGAGGAGCAAATGATGGGAGCAGAATTCCTTTCTTTACTGCAGATATAACCCTGGCCATTCCAAATGTAGTGAGTATCAGAATTTGTAAAAACTCATTGATTGTTAAGCCAAAATGCACAAGAAAAAAAAAATATGCATATTAAGGCAATATAAAAATGTGATTTGGAAGCCTATGGAAGTAAACAAACGTTATCAATAATTAGGAATGTTTCTATTGTAACGGGAAAGGAGAAAATGCGACACACCAGACCAGCATTCGAACCCGGGCCCCCTAAATCTCCAGTCAGGTGCTCTACCAACTAAGCTATCGGGGCACCAGTGATCAAACCCGACTGACCCCCACACTATCATGATCATAAGTGCATGGAAAAATTTATATTCAATTGAAATGAAGAAAAAATTTGCACTGTAAAAATGCTCCAGTGGAATTTATTCAAGGTAAGAATAGGGGGAACCAGATACTTAGCTTATTTCCTTAATCCAATCCATGTACTGGTAATTTTAGCTCACTTTAGCCAAATTAGGCTCGAGTGAATTCTGTCTGTCTGTTGTATCTCATATCTGTATACTTTTAACATTTTCGACTTCTCCAGGACCATTGGACAAATTCAATCATACATGCCACAAAGCATCCTATGGTGAAGGGAATTCAAGTCTGTTTAAATAAAGGGCTATGCCCTTTTTCAATGGGAGGTAATTAAGAAATATATAGAATTTTTTTGGGGAGGGGGTCATTTAAAAAATCTTCTGAAGCACCACTGAGCCAGAAAAGATGTATGACAGCTTCCTAACATAATGCAGATTTAAGTTTATTCAAGTCATAGCCCCAAGGGTAGAGTGGGGCCACAATAAGGGATTAAAAATTTTACATGAAAATATATTGAAAAAAAATGTTTTAAAATCTTCTCAAGAGCCACTGGGTCAGAAAATATGAAACTTCATGAAAAAATGTAGATTTAAGTTGGTTCAAATCAGCCCCTAGGGTTAAGTTAGGACCACAAAAGGGGATCAAATTTTTACAGGAAGTGTATACCGTAAAGTCGCTTGTATTGGCCGCACTTTTTTTCTTCAGAAAATTGTTTAAAATTAGGGATGCGCTTAATACATCGGAACAAAATACAACCCCCTTTTTTCCAGGTCACTTTCGCAGTGCCGAGGACCATTTTCCCGATCCATTTGAATTGATTACTCTTTGTAACCAATTACGCCAAAGTTTATTACTATTACTCTAATTTCAGAGTCATTTACGTCAGCCCTACCTGTTGTAGTCATATACATCTACCCTACCTGTTGAAAAAAAGATAATCGTTTCATAAATAAAACCATAATGAAAACCGATCTTTGTTTTTGTTTTATTTCCATTGCGTATTCCGCCATTTTGAACTACCGTCACTTATCTCATATACAAGAACTGCATGTCGCTTAGGACATAGATATATTAATACCTATAATGAGTCAACAACTATAATCTTTGTGATATATTCTGAATTATCCTTAATTCTGTATCTTATTTTTTTTTTTTTAAATTTCAGATATGCAAATTAGAGTTGCAAATTGTTAGGGATTCTATTGTCGCGTCATTGCTATATATAACTTCAGTCTATGTTGTCACGTAGGACATGACCATTGTTTATTTAACAATTATCACCTCAACACCTGCAATGAAATCAACACGTTTTTTAAAAGAACTTTATTAAAACATATTTCAGTCGGAAGCACATATAAAAACGTATTTGTAGAATACAATCAAGCACATTCAAGAAAATGTTCATAAGACATAGTTAAATATTAAAATGTTCATTTAGCACGTCATCATGGTCACAGCACTGATTGTTCATTGCACTAGCTAACTAAAATAATTATCGATGGATACCAAGAACTGTTTAACATGTTTAATTACCCGAAGCCAAACCTTTGACATTAATATCGCTTGGGTATGATTTTTGTTCATGTAAATACTGACACGCGCTTGCTATGCATTATACTGGTAAGCATAACTTCATAACGCGCTTGGAATTAATTTGAAAAGAAAATAATCAGGTATTTCTGTTATTATCTCTGGTTAGATAATTATTAAAAAGATTAAATTTAAATGTTCACACATGCACACTTAACTTATAATACGTAGAGTAAAAAAAACTGACTTGCTACTTTCGTTTGAGATTCGTAAATTTTCCTACTTTTATCTCAAGTTACTGTACTAGAAAAATTAAAGTCACATCCAATTTATGCGTTTTTTGGATGCGCATTTTACATAGGACCTGCGTTTTTTTCAGGATTTTCACCCCAACTTTGGGGGTGCGTCTTTTACACCACTGCGGCCAATAAACGCGACTTTACGGTAATAAAGATTTTTAAAAATCTTTTGAAGAACAGCAGGGCTATAATTAGTTATAAAGATATGCAAGAATTTTCAGTTACTGCAGATTCAGTTGTGGTCCTTGGGGATAGGGTGGGGCTACAATTGGAAATCATTGCCACGAAAAACTCATAAAATAGTTGAATAATAAAAATTAAAATTTACAGATCCAAATAAAAAATTAAATATATTAATAAAAGTAAAAATCAAGTTTCTTTCTTCTTTATACAAGGGGCATTTGGAAAGTTCTGAGAATATTTTTGATAAGATATTAACAAAGTTAATGAATTTAATATCACTGAAAGAGCTGGAATATACAAACATATTGTGGTGTCAATTGTATGTTCAAATCCTGGCCTCTGGGGCTAAGATGGGCCAATGTCCTGAAGAAAAGAAGGGCCAGGTAACTCAAGCATTGAGGCCCATGAACCTCTTGTTACTGCATATATGTGAGCTACACAATCTGGGTCTGCAGCTAGACAGTATGAGTAGGAAATAAAGATTTTTAACATTTTTATTACTTTTATGTATGAATAAGGTTATGCAGCCAAGTGTGGAAGACATACAAACAGCACTGAACAAAGCAACACAACTAGTGTTAGATATCAGCAAGGGTGTCTACCAGTGGGGCCAAGACAGAGAAAAACAGCATGTAGTGATAAACAACCATCATTCACATTCCACATTGCATGGTGTAGGCCAAGGTATATTTACCTCAATGTAATGTTTTAAAAGTATACAATCTTTAGGATAAATTTGAATGTCTCTTAAACAAAACTTAATCTGGATAAAAAGTACCGTGTGACATATTTTAAAATATTTCTAGCTCATCTATGTCCTGTTCATGGCCTGTTTAGTAAATAAAATGCCCAATAATATGTGCCTTGACTGTGCTTTAACACTTTTTTTGGCATGGTTTTTATGCCCCCGGATCGAAAGATCCCGGGGGTATATTGTTTTTGTCCTGTGTGTCTGTTTGTCTGTCTGTCTGTCTGTTGTCAACTTTAACCTTACCTATAACTTTTGATTGGTTGGAGCTATGACTTTCATATTTCACATGTGTATTCCTTGTGACAAGACCTTTCTTTGGGTATATTTGACCTTTTGACCTTGACCTTGGAGTTTGACTCACTTTTGCAAAATTTTATGAGACTAACCTTGGCCATAACTTCTGAACAGTTGGTGCTTGGGGTTTCAAACTTCACATGTGTATTCTTTGTAACAAGGCCTTCCTTTAGATATCAACCACTTTGACCTTTTGACCTTGATCTTGGAGTTTGACCTACTTTTGAAAAACTTAAACCTTGGCCATAACTTTTGAACAGTTGGTGTTTGGGGTTTCAAACTTCACTTGTGTATTCCTTGTGACAAAACCTTCCTCTGGATATCAATGTCTTTGACCCTTTGACCTTGACCTACTTTTGAAAAACTTTAATCTTGGCGATAAGTTTGAAACGGTTGGACCTAGTGCTTTCATACTTCACATATGTAATCCTTTTGACAAGACCTTTCTTTGGATACCAACCACTTTGACCCTTTGACCTTGACATAGGAGTTTGGCTTACTTTTGAAAAACTTTAACCTTGGCCATAACTTTCGAATGGTTGGTGCTAGGGCTTTCATACTCCACATATGTAATCCTTGTGACAAGACCTTCCTTTGGATACCAACCACTTTGACCCTTTGACCTTGACATAGGAGTTAAACCTACTTTCGAAAAACTTTAACCTTTAACATAATGTATAGATTTGTATATTACCAAGAAATTTTGATTCCATTATTTATCTAGAAACTTCAGCCCAATTAAATTTGTAACATACAAAGATTTGAATGTCCTTATATGCAAGAAGTTTTGATGTGATAATTTTTTGCAAGTAATGCCCCTTTTTGAATTATACTGTGTATTTAAAATGTACTGTGCCATTCATTATGTGTTGCATTATCGAGTTTTAGGGAAGCGTGGGGTATGTGAGCTTGCTAACTTTTTCTTTCATTGTGTTGTAAATTCAAAGCAAAAAGCCATTTCTTAACAAATCTATACAAAATAGGAACTTTTAGTGATGTCCAAAAATTCCAAGCCTCGGTATTACGATGAAATAGTGAAAGGCTTGTTGCCCCCTTCCCACTTTTTCTTGTGGTATAGTTAAAGCATGGTAATCTGGTAATTGATAATTATTTCAATAGAGGGGGTTATTTTTATAGTGGTTGTATCACCCCACTCTACATTACAAGATTACCATAATTTAACTATACCACAAGAAAAGTGGTAGTGGGGGGACCAGCCTTTTTATGAACATTTTCAATTTGCAAATTGATCGAGATAAGACTTGTAGTTAATTGGGAATGGGAATGGACCATTCCATCTAAAAATTTAAATTAGATTCAGCAACTAAAGCAAGTCTGGTAATTAATGAGCATTTCTAGATGTATCATGCAAGTTTAGTGTTGGTGGAGAATATAGTTACTTGGGAATGGACTTCCTCCATAAATTCTATTGGGAATGCCAGTAGGGATATATATATATATATAATATATATAGCATAAGCTCATCTTGACTGTTTTGAGGTGAGGTTATTAAAATTGAAGATTATTATATTGCTACTTTCTTATTAAATTACTATTATATAGGGGTGAAACGATACACCTCCTTCACGGTTCGATACGTATTGTATAATTTTGTCTCGGTACGGTTATTTTCGATACGATACATTTTGACAGAAGGAAACAAATTCAACATTGTTTTATGCTTTCGTTTTTTAAATCTAGTCACATATTTTACGAATTTTATTTGCAAATTGACTAGAAGAAATTGATTAAAATTATTTGACTGTCAAAAATTATTTTAGAAGCTATCAGTCATCAAAAATTTACGTTTTCTATACTTATTGGGATATCTTATTATTTTTGGTATCAGCGTAAATCTTATTTATAACTGAGTAACGTGTTTTACCTTATGCTAAACCCGACTGAATAACGATCCCGACCGAAAAATGAACCGAACCGAAATTTAGAGATTTTGCACCGTGTATCAAACCGAGAAAAAATACCGCGGTGAATCGATACCGCGTAGAACCGTTTCACCCCTACTATTATATAGATAGTGCCTGTAGTTAAGGGTAACATTGAAAATTTTCACCCCTCAAAAACCTTTGTTTACCTTGGCTGTACGTGCCTCCTCAGCTGACAATGGTTTTCTTGGGGTGAAAATTTTCAATGTTGCTTTCAACTTCATGTAGTATTTATTATATTATACAAAATGTTTTTCACAAACACAAATGAAGGTGTAACGTGTGCACATAGATTCCAGGCAGTCAATATTTTTTAAAAATATTTACCCATCATCAAGCAATGTTGACTGTTGCCATGTTATATCGCACTGGAGGGCATGGTTTCATCATTTAGAGGGTAACAGTGTTTTTAAACAAATGTTTCTTGACAAATCACATTCAAGTAATTAACATTAAAGTATATTATACTAAAGGCTAAAAATTAGTCTCATAGCTTATCTTGGTTTTGTATGAAATACATAGGATTCCAAAGGGTATATCAAGAAACAATAAGGTAACCACTTACTTATTTCATTATTTGATGCATTATTGCCTGCTATTGCAGATATGCACACCTTGATTAGGCAGATTGAAATCCCTCTAAAACATTATTACAAGAGCATAGTCGACAACAAGGATGTTGCCAAGTATGTTATGATGATGTCTTCTGCTCTCAGCACACTAAAACCAGAAGTGTCAGAAGCTTTACAGAGATATTCAGATTACTCCTTCTTGTGGGAACAAGATAGAGTTGAAGCAGTCAAGGTTTGATATCGTTTTTTGATTTCTCTATAATTTTATTTTTTTTATATGTGTTATACATGTGATATGTACCGGCTGTACACAAAATGTCACACATTTTTTACCCCAATCACGGGCTCATGGCGGTACACCAAAATTCACTGGAAATGAAAATTTGTGCCGTATTTTGAATTGTTTACTGGAAACCGCCATTTTTCATTAATTCGCGCTCTCGCAGCACCGGAAATCTCGTTTGATGCGTGACTTACTGTGCTTGGTTAATGTAAACAAAACATCATGATCGAAGGTGTGAAATATTCCCGTGATAATTACATCGTAATTAAAACATATCAAAGCTTTTTGTTAGACAGAATATTTTTTCATAAGACCCTTATTGAGAGGTTTTTCAACTGTAATTAGTTAAAATTTTGTCAGTAAGAAATTAAAGACGTTTCAAAAAGAAAACGACAATGTGTGACAGCAACACGAAATTTAGTCCATGATTTTTTTTGCTCTGCTTAGACATAAGTAGTGTCCATTCTATCATAGAGTAAGAGAAATGCTTTTAGTATCATTATAAAGAAATGCAAATAACTGGAGACGACCAGACTCTGGCATTAAACACTGTACTGTGGAAGTCTTTTTACCAAATTCAGCATTGACCATGGGGATTGTTGAAATTTTAAAGGCTGCAAAAGTTTCTTGAAATGAGTAATTACTGATTTGAAATTTATTAATTAAAAAATGAACCTCTCACATGATTTTTGGTCGATATTTTGTACAGTTTTTTGATGAACAATGTACAGTATTTTCACCCAAATTCCAGTATTTTGAAGACTCCTGTACAGTATTTGGGCCTAAAAATTATCACATGTATGATGTGTTGTGAGTGTTATTCCATAATGGCTTGTACCATAGGACTGGCAGTAAATTCTGACCACTTTAATGTTATTGTGGTGTATCTATCAGAAGTTTTAAATCACACCCTCTTTTTGGCATCAAGGCAAAGTTTGACGACCTTTACTAATGAATGAATGATGTCAAAATTTTTTATTTGAGATTACTAGCATCAGAGCTTTGTTTGGGCATTGGCTGTGAAATTGATGAAATTTCCACTTGGCTATTCAGAAAAGTGTGTCGTGATTTTGACTTGTCTGAACACAGAATTGGCTTATCATGGGCAGACTGTTAACTGATAATGTCTGTGACTGCCTTGTGATACTTGCTCTTTCACAGGACTACAACAGTCTTGTGGTGAATCTTGTCTATTATACAATTAAGTGATGTGCTTTTTTCCCTCTCATTTTAGAGGGAAAATTTTGACTGGTGTATGTTTATTTTGAATATATGGGTATTATGGATATACAGGTCTACATAAGCCATTACTGAATGAAATATGAAGATAACTAACAGTATTCAATCTTGAAAGTCCAATGAAACGATACAAATTTGGAGCAGAGCAAACACAGACCTCAAAATTTAGAGGTGGGATCATGGAGGAGTGAGCACCCCTTGCCGACTGGTCACACCCACTGTGTGCTTCTTGTCAGGATCAAAAAAAAAAAAACAACGGAAAAATCCGTAGAAGTTCATGTGCAGTTCAGACTGTTGCATGTAGTCCTTCATCCAAAGATGGCACAAAACGTCCTTGGTAAAAATGAGCTTCAGTTTTTTTTAAAATGCATGACCATGTTTTTCTGCCAAGGAGAGACATTTAAGAAAAATCTTAAAGAAACTACATGAAAAGAATGGAAAGCATTAATGAAGTCTAGGTTCCTTGTATGATGGAAATTCAAATGTGTTCAAAACATGTCTCCTAGTGCAAGAAAAGGGTCAAAATGGGAGTTCAAATTTTTATTTAGGATTATTTAAAAAAAAAAAGAAAAAAAAAGGAACTTGACTGTTAAGGATATTAAGACTTTTTTCAAGATAAAACCTTGTAAAGGTACCAATATTGGTACTTATATCTATACTTGGAAAGGGAAAGACTGAATTTAATTTTCAATGTGGAAAATCAAGGTTACTTTTGCAGAATGGTCTATAAAGCTTCTAAATGAAAAAGAACAGAGATCAATTCAAGAAATTTTATCCATAGGAAAGATGAAGATGGTTGTGTTATTCTACTTTGTCATTGCAAAAATGACCAAATTCATATTGTAGAAAGAGCTCCATTTTAACTAAAAAACTAATTTAACTGAATTATAAGTAGAATCTTTTCATTCACACTAAACTGTTTGGAAAATGATTTATTTACTAGTTACTCTTTTTATTTTTTTTAGGAATTCATGCGGGAGGAACCTATTCTCTCCGAGTTCAAGGCAAAATGCTCAATATTCAAAAATCTTGAGAACAATATTGATGATATTCAGGCATCAGAGATTGTTGGACCTATTGAATTATTTACAGGTAAAACATCTTATGTTATGTTCTAAATTCACCAGTTCAACCGAACATAAATCATTTATAGAATGAAACTCAAAATACTTTTATTTAGGATGAGCTCGCATGCGCGAGTACAACAGACTTTTTAATGAAGTGTATACAGTATACAAAGCAGTCTTTAGTTTGACCTCTTATCCATATCATTCTACAAAAGAAAAAGACAACATCAAAACAAACAAAAACGTTTACAAAATATCAATACTGGAAGGGATGGGGTGGGGTGGGGGATTAGTCTGTTGCAATGTAGCAGCGAACTTCGAATGACTTAAAACACCCGAAAATCTACCTTATATGTGACTGAATCATGGGTAGCACGGATTCAACCTATTCACCCGTAAACAAATCAACAACCAATCGATCTCCTTTATTGATGGACCTTTTCTGTATACATAACAAACACATGTGTTTTACTGTAACTTTTATAAATATATATAACAAAACAAGAGGAGTACATATATTTAGATTGAAAATAATGCAATTCCATGTATACAGTCAAACCTCATTATTTTAAACTTGAAGGGACTGTAAAAAAACAGAGAGAGATATCCAGGTGTTCTAGATATTCAACGTTCAGCTTTGATTTATTTTTGTTTTGAATGAGTCAACATACATGTACCTCACTTGCTTTTATAATGAATCACACTTCTTTCTGTAATTACTAAAACATTCTTACAAAATAAGAAAAAAATACAACCTAAAGTGATTATTCACTTTTTCCCATATTGATAAACATTTTAGCATAATATTGCAAAGCAGTAGAATTTCTGCACATAAACATGAGAAATTAATTGATACTTTTTTTAACCATGTTGATAATGTGTTGAGTGGAATTTGAATGCTGTAATTCTTGGCAATGGTGGATTTTTTCAGGGTATTCTGTTTTACTTCTGAGAGAGTTGAAAGCTTTGTTTCAATTGAATGTACCTTTTATTTTCTTTATTTAAAACCCAGATAGTCCAACTATTCCCGAGGATTTAGAACTGGTCCTTCTTGGGATTGCTAGTTGTCTTGTGACAATGTGTAATTCAACAGTGAAATTCAGTTTGTAGCTAAATTCAATTTTTCTGCACTGTTGGAACTGTAATTTGATCTAGTCATCTATAATATTTTTTTTGGTTGATGAGCTGCAAGCAGATCTGTAGGTAATGATAAAAACTTGATTAATTTAAATACTTGATTAAAAAATTTGGACACTAAGCCAAAGAAAGCCTGTAAGAAAACTCCATTTACAATTCATTTCTTTTATGATCATAGAACCTTTGAAGCTAGCATTAAGAGTTGAAATCAAAGCTTGGAAGTTGATGTTTGGAAAAGAGCTTAACAAAAAGTACAGGGAAAAAATGGAAGGAGTGCTGAATTTTGTGGATGATTACACCAAAAGACTTGCTAGACCAATTCGTGATCTAGAGGATGTTAGAGAATCAATGTCTGCTCTGAGTGACATCAGGGAACACCAGATAGCTCTTGATATGCAGCTAGGACCCATTGAGGTTCCTGATATTTTCAAACTGCATTCTTATATCATTTCAAGTATAAAATGAACAAGTAATATCTACATGTTAAGGGGAAACTATTTGTACGGGGTATATAGATTTAATAAAAATTTGTCCCTGAGAAAAAAAATGGCAAAATTATTGTTAGTTTAGCAATTTATTCAGTTTTCAGTCTGCTTACAGGAATCGTATGCAATGCTGAATGAATTTGAAGTGGTAGTGAAGAAAGAAGAGACAGATATGGTGGACTCTCTACGATATTCCTTCCAGAAGTTGTTGACAAGTGCAGTAAGATTTCTCTGAATTGTATCATAGGTAGCATTGTTTTCTGTTTGTCCTGTCCCCTTTTGGGATAGACAAAGCAATGAAAAGAAAATTGATTTTTGTTTACAAATGAAATGCAAAGCTGTTTTAGTATGCTTTGTAAATGCTTGAGATCACTAATCCTCCCTCACTTGCCTAATATACCAATCTATAGTCAAAAGGTCTGTTAATTACAGTATTGCTAGAGGATGAAACCTATATAAACTCCAGAAAAAAAAATTGTCATTACCTTTTAATGCAAATTTATTTCTAATACAAAACAAAGTATGGTATTTCAAATGACTTTATCTAATAACATTCCAGCATATGCATAGTTCAAGAGTTCTTTATCTTACAACATTATTGCAAATACAAACAACAAATAAGACAACTAAAAATATTTACATTACAAATTCAAATACACAATACTGGACAAAACTGGCTCAGTCACCCATGAAGAACTTGCTGGACTGAAGAATCCACATGGTAGAATCTTCCCGATGTGTGAGACATCGCCACAACAAAAATTGTTGAACCCAGCAAGACAGAGTTGGAAGATCCACATGGTAGAAATTCCCCAGTACGAGTGTACTGCTACAACGAAAGTTGTAAATTCTGCTCTAGAATTTTAACAACAAGGGAGTTTTAGCTGATTATAAATTTGTAATGGGGAAATTATGACAATAATAAGGCCAATAATTAAAGAAATAAGTGTACTACGGTGACTGAAACCAGTTTGGCATTACCATGGCGAACTTAGGAGAGAGGCGGGGATGGTGGTGGATAGCTTGGTACTGACGCTGTCCGGGACCATCGAAAGATAAGAAGTCACGTGACTAGCTATTCTTGACCTATTGACCAATGACTGATGGACATGAAAATCAGCATGTCTATTGCATAATATTGGTAAACGTAAACAAAAGCAAAGGGGGGAAGGGCTTAGTTAGGCAAATTGTATGAAATAAACTTTGCTTAAAATTTTAATAAAATAATTTAAGCTACAATTTATTTCTAATACAAAACAAAGTATGGTATTTCAAATGACTTTATCTAATAACATTCCAGCATATGCATAGTTCAAGAGTTCTTTATCTTACAACATTATTGCAAATACAAACAACAAATAAGACAACTAAAAATATTTACGTTACAAATTCAAATACACAATACTGGACAAAACTGGCTCAGTCACCCATGAAGAACTTGCTGGACTGAAGAATCCACATGGTAGAATCTTCCCGATGTGTGAGACATCGCCACAACGAAAATTGTTGAACCCAGCAAGACAGAGTTGGAAGATCCACATGGTAGAAATTCCCCAGTACGAGTGTACTGCTACAACGAAAGTTGTAAACTCTGCTCTAGAATTTTAACAACAAGGGAGTTTTAGCTGATTATAAATTTGTAATTGGGAAATTATGACAATAATAAGGCCAAAACTCAGGAACGAAAATATGAGTGACTGAGTGCCCCATAAGTGTTTATAATTGTACGCCATGGTAATACATACATGTTAATTATGAGATAAATTGAAAATGAGAACAAGATTTTTTAACCGAGAAAAAAGAAAAAATATTACAAATAACATGTCTAAAAATAGCGACATAGTAAGCCGTTTTATACAAGAAAAATATAACAACAAGATAGCGACTCAAGAAATACAAAGCAAGTTATAAACGATACATAAATTTGAATGAGAGCATAAAAATTAATCTGTAATCAGGAAACATTAAGTTTAAAAATATTGAGAATTAAACACTATGTACACATTCACAATGGTGCCCGAGTCATCAGACTGTTAAACAATGCTTTCAGAATCTCTCGCAAAAGTCAACTGGTGATGAGCATGGACTGTTGCGCGTGTTTAATGGCTGAGTCTGGTGTTTTGATATATCTCGTATATGAATCGGAGGTCCATCTTCCTAGTGATTTGATAAGGTGGTCTTCGATGCGCGCTTTTGCTGCAGATGTAGCAGCACCAATTCAGAAAGAAAGTCCAGTGATGTAGCTGTCGCCGTGGTTTGAACGCTTCAGTAGATCCCTTAACATAGTCAAAAAATTACACCGACTGAGGGCACTTCCATTTTCCATGATGAACAGGGGGAGGTGCATTTTGGGATCAAAAAGAGCATTTCTTGTAGATAAGTAGTTCTTTAGTTGTTCAAATGGACATAATACGGAATTATTTTTGAACAACTTGATCCCTAATCCTTTTCGGAAAGGATAGGTCTTTGATTGTTTAAGGAAGAGAACGACGTGGTCATTGTAGAATTGTACGTCGCTTACGCACAGATTAACGTGAGGGTTGAAAGCTGCTTTGCATGTAAATTCTGCACATCTGAGGAAACCGAAAAAAGCCACTACACACACTGTTGTCATCAATGTATCCGTGTATTTTGAGTTCACACCTTTTTGAAGCACGCTGCACATGTCTTGTAACACATTGTAAGTAATAGGTTGTCGGCTTGGATGGTAGGATTGACTTTGTCTTTTTATACCGCTAAGTAGCATGTGCAATCTAGGTAGATTACCTGCCAAATCGGTGAAGGGGTTAGGTATACCTAGCAGGGTGAGATGGTGTCGAATCCCGCAGAGATAAAGTTTGATTGTTTGGTAAGACAGGTTCATGGAATCGTAACAGTAGGTGACAAATTCCATTAAAGTAGATTCTGACACACTTTGACACGTGTTGTTCATACGGCTAAATTTTAAGAAGGCTTGATATCCGGAGTTGTACATAGCTCTAGTTGAAACAGATATGGAGTCTTCCATCAATGCTTCTATTCTGTGAGAGGTTTCCAAAGGACGTCCTGCAGGGGTGGGCAAGGATGAGGGTGTCTGTCTGCTTGAGGAGCTAGGCTTCTGAACTTGTTTATCTGAAATCGAGATAAAGCATCTGCGATTACATTAGTTTTACCTGGAAGGAATTCAGAATAAATGCATAAATTGTATTTAGCTGAACACCAGGTTAACTGTCTCGTTAGTTTCATAATAGAAAGAACTTTAGATCGCCCCTTTTGTATAATATTCACAGTAGCTAAGTTGTCACAATAAAAAAGTATTCTTTTGGTAGACCAACAATGTCCCCAGAGAATGGAAGCTACAACGATAGGGTACAGTTCACGGAGCGCCATAGATATGTCCTTGTCTTGTTCACTTGGTAAATCATCTGGCCATTTGTCACTGAACCAATGACCTTTGAAATATCCCCCGAATCCAAGGGTAGATGATGCGTCTGTTTTCAAATGCATACTATTAGCTAGAGTTCTTTCGATATCATAGAAAAATGATATGCCATTCCACTGATCTAAGAACAATTTCCACATTTTGATGTCTTCTCTGCACTCTGAGGTCAGATGAATGTAATGGTGAAGATGCTAGGCTCAACAAATAAGAAACAAATGATCTTCCCGGTACGATTACGCGAGAAGCAAAGTTCAAATGTCCCAAAAGTTGCAACAATTCACGTTTTGTACAGCTTTTCTTCACGCTGAAAGTTTCCAACAATTCTCGTATTCTAAGAACTTTATCTGGAGGAAGTCGTGCTTGCATTTTAGAAGAATCGAGAATTATTCCAAGGTATTCCACAACAGTATCTGGGCCCATGGTCTTGTGTAGAGCAATTGGAACGTTCAGCTTCTTAAAGATCATTGTCAGGAGGGCCATAGTCCGATCCGCATCAAAATCTGGTCCATCTATGGTTAGGAAGTCATCCAGCAAATGCAGTATAGATTCGATTTTGTAATTGTTTTGTGCTATCCAGCAAATTGCTTGGGAAAACTGATCGAAGATCTTTGGACTAGATCTACATCCAAAGGATAAACGAGTGTAGAAATAGTATAAATTTCTCCACTTCACACAATATAAATGATACTGAGAAGGTAGTACGGGAATAAGTTTAAAGGCATCTGAAATATCAGTCTTGCACATCAGAGAACCTTGACCATTTTGCACAATAATTTTGATGGCATCATCAATACTCACATAAGAAAGAGAGCATTGATTTTTATCAATGAGTTCATTTATACTTGGGTGAGTTTCATTGTTGTGAGGTGCAGAAAGATCCACGACAAGCCTTTTCTTTTTAGAATACTTATGTTCAGTGATTCCGAGAGGAGGTTCCTCATAATGTCCTGAAAGAAAACCTTTTTCAATTTCCTTTGACAGCAACTCATCAACAGTATCCATGTTCTGTAAAGCTGACCTCAAGTTTTTGCATTCTCGTGTTTTCAAGTCTGTTTTCTGCACTTTAGTGTCAAACCCATTAGTAAAACCATCTAGAATGTAAGCAACAAAGTTAGGATTTTCAAAATTTTCAAGTTCTAGTTTCAACTGTTGAATGTTAATTGTTGAGCATGTAGATCCTGGAACAGATAGTCATTTGGGATTGGTAGTAGAGGAAGATGTATTCTTAGATTTGGTGGATTTTGAATTGCAAGTGAGCGATGAATGATCCTTGTTCTTGCATTGGCTACAAATATGAAGGAAAGGACAGTTGTTTCTTCCACATTTCCTAGTAGAATTGAAATTGTTACAGATTTCCTGTCCATCATGTAACAGCCTCTTTCTGCCGTGCTTATCTGTATTACTGTTTGAGGATTGATGAGAAGTTGTCGCTGAATTGCTCTGTGATTGAGGACAAAACCTAGTGTCTGGATTTCGATGCTATGAGTTGAATGAGATCTCTGTCTCCACAGACCAGTCAACTTTAATCTTGTGAACGGCCAAGGCATTGGCACTTCTCAGAGAAAATAGCTTGTGGTACTCATAAAATCTTTCTCCGTAAACATTGTATATGTCGATGATATTGGCTTCATACTGATCTAATTCTTCTCTGCGATTAGGGAATGCCTGGCACATGCATCGTTTATATTTTCCGAATGCGGTTAAAAACTCAGCAATAGTAAGGCACCTTTTAAGTCGGATATCTTCCTTCTCTGGTTTCTCTTTCTCTGAGGTAGTAATTTCGTAATAAGGAATAAGCAATTTAGCAAGATTAACATCCTTACCGTCGATGATGTTTTTCCGAATGGAATTGGAAATCAATTCCATTTGGGGCAATTCCTCCGGGTTCGTGCCGAATTTCCTCGTGCTCTGGGTGTTTTCATTTGCCGTTCGGTAGAACTGCTGTAAATTAAATGATGGCGAGCTGTTAGCGTGTGTGTCTTTCGTTGTAATAAGGGTAGTTAAACTCGAAACCATCGTCTGGAGGCTTTGAACTGTGTGCACAAGCGACTCAATAACTGCTGGGGAACTCGAGGTAGATGAGATTTGGTTTCCGCCGGAAGTAGTTGCGCTTGGATAAGTCGTACTTTGAAAGGATGTCGTACTAGCTACGGATACCGCAGACGAACTTTGGAGATTCAAAGATTGTCCGGAAAAACCATTTGTGTGGTTGGAATTCTCCGCGGAATTCACATTGATGGCCCTGCTTTCATTTTGACTGTTTGAAGCGTCAATATCTTTTCCCAACACGTTGTCCACGTACAATTTCCGCAACACAGAGATAGGAAAATTGGAAGAGGCGCTTATATTAGCCTCTAACAGTTTTTCGCGAAGAACAACAGCGGACCAATTTAAATAATTTGTCATGTCAAGAGAATCACCGGAGGTTCTTTGTCTTTTAGCACTTCTCCTGGTCACCATAGTTGTTTGAGATACGTTGATTTTTTAATATCGCAATTTCACTAATTAATGAAGTGTTTTTCCCAGAATTACATCGTCAAACACACAATTTAAGTACACTGAAAGTAAATACACAAAGAAACAAATCGGATGATCGATGATTATTAAGTAATCCTATGGATTAATGATGACAATAATAGCTTGGTACTGACACTGTCCGGGACCATCGAAAGATAAGAAGTCACGTGACTAGCTATTCTTGACCTATTGACCAATGACTGATGGACATGAAAATCAGCATGTCTATTGCATAATATTGGTAAACGTAAACAAAAGCAAAGGGGGGAAGGGCTTAGTTAGGCAAATTGTATGAAATAAACTTTGCTTAAAATTTTAAGCTACAATGAAAGAGTACCATTTGATCTTTTGGTGAAATATGGAGATAACGAACAGTAATCAAGTTCAAAAGTTCATTGAAACAGTGATAGACTGCATGCTGACAAGGTCATTGTATCGACCATAGAACTTAAAAATGATGACTTTAAATGAGACTGTTGATGTTCTTGTTTCATCAATTTATTTGTTAATAGCTTGCCTCATTTTAGAAATTGTTTGTCTATAGATCTAGAGCATACTCTTGCGTATCGAATCAACTGGGAGACATAAACCCCATATGCAGGTGATAAGGGTAAATTGATAAGTAAGTAAAGAAAGTTGATGATAGAAAAGTTAAAGTCATCCTGTTTATCATCAAGTTTTGTTGAAAGATTACCTTTAACATCTTTTTCTAGTAAAATATCCAAATATAAATCAGATGTGTCAGACTCTGTGGTATCTTTTATTTCAAGTTCACTGGGATGTATCAAGTTGACATTAATGAAAGTTAAATATTGTTAATTGATAATATGTCATATACTTGTGGCAGACATTCATGAGGTCAGGAAAATGCCATTGTTTGCATGGACAAATCAACAAATTTCTTGATGAAGGACAATTTGGTTTTCTGTAAATGTACTTTTTTCCATGGGTTCGTAATTCTGCAGAATCACAATATCTGTTCAATCAGCGAATAGAGGATCATGCAGATTTCTTGGATTGTCATTGTATGTCCTTAAGTATTTTAAGTACACTGCAACAATTGCTACAGAAAAATTGTAACCACTTACAGTGGAAATTAATCCCATGCTGAAAAAAGCATGTCTGTGGTAGTATTAACATTGTAATGAAGATCATGTGAATCGTGTGAGAAACTCGATCTGCTCTTTGAAAGAAATTTTGTCACAAATGGCTATATTAATCATTACAATAAAAGTACTTCACATTTTTTATTCTTGTCTATTGAACAGTTGCTGTGTAATCCACAACTATATATGATGTGAGCAGGACTCAAGCTTGTTTAAGGAATCACTGTCTAGTTTGTTGGGTATACCAGGACATTAATGACAGTTGGAAACATGGGAAAAATTGCGTAATGGGTGAAACCTGTCATGCATTAATCATCCCACATTTCCAACTGTTGTTACTGTTCCTGACATACCCAACAAACTAGACAGTGATTTTTAGTTCTACTGGTCAGAGTTTATGCGATAGTAAAGTGTCTGTCTGTCCGTCCGTCTGTAAACAATTTTCAAAGCACTACTCCTCCTACAGTTTTGGTCTGATTTCAATATAACTTGGCACACAAGTAGACTACACTAAGATACATAATTCTTTTTATCGGTTTTTGATTTCAATGAACGGTGTTGCCATGGTTACTAAAAATAGAAATTTCTGTGAAATACTTTCAAAATGCTACTCCTCCTACAGTTTTGGTCTGATATCAGTGTAAATTGGCACACAAGTAGACTATACTAAGATACATAATTCTATATATCGGTTTTTGATTTCAATGAACGGTGTTGCCATGGTTACTAAGATTAGAAATTTCTGTGAAAGATTTTCAAAACGCTACTCCTCCTACAGTTTTGATCTGATTTCAATATAACTTAACATACAAGTACAGGGTTGTCCCTAAGAATTGAAATAAAAGGGGACATTTAAAAAGTAGAAGGGGAACTGGGGTTCCTCCCTTACTGGGGAGTTTAGGAGGAATACTGAAATAACCGGGGGATTACATAATTATAGGCGGGATATTCCCTGGCTCCCGGGTCTTAAAGACAACCCTGCAAGTAGACTACACAAAGATATGTAACTGTGTATCCTTGAACGGTGTTGCCATGGTTACTAAAAATAGAAATTTCCTTGAAATACTTTCAAAATGCTATTCCTCCTACAGTTTTGGTCTGATTTTAGTATAACTTGACTCACAAGTAAACTACACTAAGGTACATAATTCTCTGTACCAGTTTTGGATTTTGATGAGCGGTGTTGCCATGGTTACTAAAAATAGGAATTTTTTGAAATACTTTCAAAACGCTACTCCTACTATATGTTTTGTCTGATTTCGGTATAACTTGGCATACAAGTAGACTACACAAAGATACATAATTTCATTATTGCTTTTTGATTTTGTTGAATGATGTTGCCATGGTTACTAAAATCGAAATTTCTGTAAAATTATTTTAAAAGGCTACTCCTCCTACAGTTTTATTCTGATTGCAATAAATCTTGCCACAAAAACAGACTAAACAAAGGATCATTATTCTATTTATTGGCAAAGTTTCACGTCCAAGTGCTACTTTTATCTTCCTTTATAAGTACAACCAGTAGAGCTACATTCTCATCAGAGACTTCTGGTTTATATTAACATTTATATGTGAAACAAAAATGTAAATATAAATAAAAAATGCTGTCTAATGGATATAAAACACTTGAGGCATTCCATGTTAATTTCCATAGTCTACGCTCACTGACATCAGACACAATGACATCCATGGGAGATTGACAAGCATAATACGCATTTGACCTTTCACTTGGCAAAATTTACAGTCGTAAATAACGAGAAATGAACACAAAAATCTTTCAAAGACTTATCATAGAGAAAACAGTTGTAATATATTTACATAAATTCTAGGAGTGTAGGTGTGTTATCATTTTGTGAGTTCACTCACAATATCTATAGTTTTATTGTGAAGATTTAACCATTTATTGTCAATTTCAACAGTTATAAAGCTTTGTATATTTCTTAATTTATGTTTATTTCTATAGCGTAGATAAAAATGATTTTAATATTTTATAGAACAAGATCCAAGATGAATTGGTACGGGTGCAGCCAGGATTCAAATCTGAACTTCTGACTTCTGTAGAAATTTTTCAGAAGGATGTTACTGACTTTGGATTAAGCTATGCAACTGTAAGAGCTCTTTTTAGTTACCATCTTATGTTTATCTGGATACATATCCAGGAGAAGCCTAACCATTGACAAACTCATATTCGTTTCAGTAAGTGCCCATGGTGCTTGCATTTATACAGAACATTGAGAATATATGTATCTCAAAGGGGATGGGGATGGAGATTTATTAAGTATAAAAATACATCAAATATTGTAAAATGATCATTTTTCTTTGTTAAGATTTAAAAAAATATACTGTTTGGTTAAGTTAAAGAGCAACTAATATGTGATATTTAGTTTCCCTATGAGTTTTACTTTTAAAAGTAATGCAAACAGTTGAATCAATAGTTAAAGTACAGCAGCTTGAGATTCAGGGTCAAAGAAGATTTTAGGACAAGGTCGCCAAATGGCAACCTACTTGAAAATGAACTGGCCGTTCTGTTTGTTTGTTTGTATGTTGTTTCACGTCCCTCTCGAGAATTTTTCACTCATATGGAGACGCCACCACTTGCCGGTGGAGAGCTGCAAATTTTGTCCTATACTCGGCACTTACGGCCATTGAGCAGTGAGGGATCTTTTTCGTGCCAGCACCTACTGCGACACGGGACCTCGGTTTAAATGGTCTCATCCGAAGGACCGGTCTCCACGTCCCACAGTGGGATTCAAACCGCGACGTAAGGATCAACTCCTTACTTCGCGACTCTATAGCAGACGCTCTAACCACTGCGCCAAGTGGGCGACAAACTGGCCATTCTGAGATAAAAAGTAAAATTATAGGTCTCCTTTAGATACTTGCAGATTTTCAGGTAAATGCTATTAGAATAACACATTTTTTCATAATAAAAGAAATTGATGCCCCCCCCCCCCCTTTTTTTTTAATATTCAATACCATAATTTACAGAAGATAGGTTATACTTTTTAGCTCTTCTGAGCTATGGCCATTTGTGCGTTGTGCGTCAACTTTTTGGAAAATGGGCCATAACTGAAGAACCCCTTGACCAATTTTTGTCAAATTTTTCGCATAATATCCTTGGCCCAAGGGCTCTCATTTGTACTAAAAACAGGGATGGGACCCTTAAACAAGGGGATATAATCAGGGAAATAAAAGCAAAAGTACTGGTTGCTAAAAAATCTTCTCAAGAACCACAGGGCAGATAATCACCAAACTTACATACAAGGATGAGGATATGATGTAGATTAAAAAGTTGTTCATGGGATTACCCTGGGGCAAAGGCATGGTCTCAAGGTCACTTCAAAGTTGACCAAAATTTACATTTTGTTTAATCTTTGATATTTTGCCCACTATAAGACCTAGCTAGGATCATCAAATCTTAACAGTTGATGCATCTTTGGACCTCATATTGTTGACTCAAAAGTAGGTCACAGTGACCTACTTTTTAAATTTTGCAGGTATTCATTTTAATTTTGATGCTTAACTTGGATACTTTGAAGCCTATGATCATCAAAACTTGTCAGTTTATGCATCATGGGACCTTGATTGATTGTATGTTGTTTAACGTTCCCATTGGAGAATTTTTCACTCATATAGAGACGTCACCTTATACCGGTGAAAGGCTTCAAATTTTGACCTTTACTCGGCACTCAGGGCCATTGAGCAGTGAGGGATCTTTATCGTGCCAACGCCTGCACTGACACGGGGCCTCGGTTTTTAAGGTCTCATCCGAAGGACCTGCAACTTTCACTTCAAAGTGCCGAGCGCATGGTGAAGGAACGGTTGCCACCTATTTTTTATCGACTTAGGTCAGTCGCGGCCGAGATTTGAACTCACGACCTCGAAGTGTGTCGACAAAAAAGTAGTACATCATGACCTACTTTCTGAATTTTATGGCTATAATTTTCTGAACATTAAAGGTCATTATTTCAGAAACTAAGAGGTTTAGAATCATCAAATCTTGTAAGTTGATACACCTAGGGGCCATAAAACAGATTTATTAGAAATAAGTCACAGTGGCCTACTTATGGAATTTACAGGTAATCATTTTCAAATTGTTTTGGAGGCATATTTTGGACACTTTGAAGCATAGGATCATCAAACTTTGTCAGTTGATGCATCTTGAGTCCTCGGAGTGTGTCAACTAAAAAGTAGGTCACCATAACCTACTTTTACAATTTCATGGCTTAATTTGAATATTCCAGATACTGATTGGCTTGGAATCATGAAACTTTGTCAGTTGATGCTTGGGTACCCAGAGTGTGTCAACCAAAAAGGTCACCGTGACCTACTTTTGGAATGTGATGGCTATTTCAGTTACTAATTGGCTTAGAATCATCAAACTTTGTCAGTTGATGTATTTTGGGTCCTCAAAGTGTGTCAACCAAAAAGTAGGTCATTATGACCTACTTTTGGAATTTGATGGCTTTTTAGCTCACCTGAGCTGAAGGCTCAAGTGAGCTTTTCTGATCGAAATTTGTCTGTTGTCTGTCGTCGTTGTTGTCATAAACTTTTCACCTTTTCATCTTCTTCTCCAGAACTACTGGGCCAATTTCAATCAAACTTGGCACAAAGTATCCTTTGGTGAAGGGGATTCAAGTTTGTTCAAATGAAGGGCCACGTCCTCCTCCAAGGGGAGATAATTACGAAATAGCAAAAAATTAATGGCATTATTGAAAAATCTTCTTCTCAAGAACCAATGGGCCAGGTAAGATGAAACTCATGTGGAATTATTGTCAGGTAGTGTAGATTCAAGTTTGTTCAAATCATGACCCCTGGGGGTAGGGTGGGGCCACAATGGACAATAAAAGTTTAACATAGGAGTATATAGGAAAAATCTTCGAAAATCTTAATCTCAAGAACAGCAAAGCCATGATTGGTCAAATTTATATGGAAGCATCCTCAAGTGGTGTAGATTCAAGTTTGTTCAAATCATGACCCCCAGGGGGAAGGGTGGGGCCACAATGGACGATCAAAGTTTTACATAGGAATGCATAAGAAAAATCTTCAAAAATCTTCTTCTCAAGAACAGCAAAGCTATGATTGGTCATATTTATTTGGAAGCATCCTCAGGTGGTGTAGATTCAAGTTTGTTCAAATCATGACCCCCAGGGGTAGGGTGGGACCACAATGGACGATCAAAGTTTAACAGGTATATATAGGAAAAATCTTCAAAAATCTTCTCAAGAACAGCAAAGCTATGATTGGTCAAATTTATATGGAAGCATCCTCAGTTGGTGTAGATTCAAGTTTGTTCAAATCATGACCTCAAGGGGTAGGATGGGGCCTCAGTGAAAGTTCAAACTTGTAGAGAAAAAGGTCACAGTTAGTCAAAAAATTATGTAAGCATCCTTAGTTAGTGTAGATTCAAGTTTGTTCAAACCATCCCCCTCCCCCCTCCCAACTCCCGTTTAGGGGTAGGTTGGGACCACTTATGCATTTAAGCTTTTCAATACTAAACTGATTTTTCCTTTTTTCCTAGCCACAGTGCTCAGGTGAGTGATGTGGCCCCTGGGCCTCTTGTTCAGTTACTAATTGACTTGGAATTATCAAAGTTTGTCAGTTGATGCATCTTGAGTCCTCGGAGTGTGTCAACTAAAAAGTAGGTCACCGTGACCTACTTTTACAATTTCATGGCTTAATTTGAATATTCCAGATACTGATTGGCTTGGAATTATCAAACTTTGTCAGTTGATGCATCTTGGGTACCCAGAGTGTGTCAACCAAAAAGGTCACCGTGACCTACTTTTGGAATGTGATGGCTATTTCAGTTACTAATTGGCTTAGAATCATCAAACGTTGTCAGTTGATGCATTTTGGGTCCTCAAAGTGTGTAAACTAAAAAGTAGGTCATCATTTAGGAATTTGATAGCTATTTCAGATAGTATAAATTGGCTTAGAATCAACAAACTGTCAGTTGATGCGTCCTGAGTCCTCAAAGTGTGTCAATCAAAACATAGGTCACTGTGACCTACTTTTGCAATTTCATGGCTTAATTTGAATATTTTTAGGAATTTGATGGCTATTTCACATACTAATTGGCTTAGAATCATCAAATTTTGTAAGTTGATGCATCTTGAGTCCTTGGAGTGTATCAACCAAAAAGTGAGTCAATGTGACCTACTTTTGCAACTTCAAGACTAAATTTAGATATTTCAGATACTAATTAGCTTGTAATTATCAAACTTTGTCAGTTGTTGCATGCTGACATACTTTTGGAATTTCAAGGCTTTATCCTTATAGATAGGTTACCACGAGGCTTAAAGCAGATGAGCTTATAAGTAAGTAAATTTTTAGAAGAGTGATTCTAGGCCCTTGGGCCTCTTTTTTTTTTTTCAAAACTTTTGGGGTTGCCCAATTTAACAAAACGACCTTTCTAAGGCTCAAGTTTAAAGAAAAATAAATTACTTAAAAGAATTAATCCATTGATGTCTTACAAATTAAATGCCATGAAATGTTCTTGTAAGTATAAAACAAAATTTAAGCCAGGTAAAATTAAACTTTTGATTCTCATCCCCACCCACCCCTCTCAAAGTTCCCCGCCCCGTTGTTATTTATTTTGGTTTTGGGGAATGAAAAGTATTTACATGTATGTTTACTCAGCAAGAGTCAGAATCAAAATTTAAGAGTTATATCTCCCGTCTGTATTAAAAGTCACGGGGGCTATTTATAGCACAAAAGCCATGTGAAGAATGGAGAAAAATCGGCAATAAAAGTAGTTTAAAATATGTGAGGAAAGAGATAATTTGCCAGTATATAGAAGGCAGAAAAGCAAAAATAACATAAATACATCTAGATACCATCACTGGCATGAGCAAGTTTTTGAAGAGATTTTAACGAAGTAAAAACAGACAAAGAAAATGACATCTAGTCAAGATATAATGATATAGCCAGTTGTTTGTAATTATGTACTTAAAAAAAAGATTGTCAGCAGACTTCAGATGATTATAGTGCTATAAAAAATGGTAAATCTTAAAACTGTTCAATATAGGCTTTTCAGTAGAATATTTTACAGTTTTAGACAAAAAAAAAGTTTTGCAAAAATGTCATATTTTTTAAATGTCAAACATGTCAAGTCTCAAGAACGAAAGTATGAGGACAGTGGAAATCTGTGATATTTCACACAAAACAAAGGAGTTGTTGGTAATACTAAAAGGCATTTGGAGAAAGGCCGGTGAGAAGTTGTGACTACCACATGCAGCATATGGAGTTTATGGGATTCGCACCCCATTTTGTGTGGCATGTGCCGTATCTGTGTACTTGAAAATTCATTACCGTACGGTTATAAAAACTATAAATATTTAGTTTTCTATAACAAGAATCTTCTGTAGATATTTAAAACAATAAATAATAAAATCTTCATATTGGCATTAACATAATGTGAAAATTTTGTGTGAAAAGAGTGTTATGTAGATGTTTTCAGTAATAAAAAATAAATCCGCCCACCTGCCCCAATTTTTTAGCAAATTGGGATGAGAATCTAAATTTTAAATTTATATAGCCTTATGTAGATCACCTCATAATTAAGTCTTGTCAATGCACTTAAAGACATATGCAACGTACCTTACCTACTGATAAATTTTCAAGATATTCTTAATTTAAGATTATAGTGCTATCAGAAGTTTGTAGACAAAAGATCAGCATGCATTATGCAGGGGTTTTGAAAAGATATTGATGAAAATTCTTGTATAATTCAAAGAAAAATACACAAAAATTACTAAACATATATTCTAGATGTTTTGTTTATCCAATCTTGTTTTAGAAGAAGCGTACAACAGCATATATAGACATAAAAATGTAGCACACAATTCCTTTAAGTATCGGAACTTATGAAATCCAGGGAAAAAGACAATAAAGTTCAAACTAGGTTGCGTATGTACTTAACAACATGCTTTCCGCTTCCATAATGTGGTGCTGGAAGTTGCATTCATTTATTAAAGGGGCCTGGACACGGATTTGATGTTAATACAGTTAAACTTCGTTATCTCGAAGTTGACGAGACCATTGATGAACTTCGAGATATCAAGGGGTTCGACATATCGAGGGTTATAATTCTAATGAACTTCAAATAAACTTCGTGCAGTGAACATGCACTTAATAGTAGAAACATGTCAAATTCCTTCTTCTTTGAAATTCTGTATACAATTTCTTTAATATACATGTTCATGTATTTAACATTAAAAAGATTTTAATGTCCTCTTTTTTAATTCACAAAACAATACTTTGTATAATATGCACAGTTGTATAATCCTTTTAACTACCCGGCAAGTCAACCGCTAGCATCGTTTCCCATGTATACATAGCCAGATATCATCTATGCATTGTAAATTTAAAACTGGTCGCTGTCAGAATAACGCAAACGAAATATACAATTTTTTTTATTGGAAGAACATAATCATACGTGTATAATCAGTTAAAAGAAAAGATTTTACCATAATAAAATCAAATGCAAAAGAAGAAACACGCACTTTTGTGGAAAATTATCCTGACTTCGAGATAACGCATGTGATTTTAATGAATGGGTACACAATTTTACTTCGAGATAACAGGGGTATTTGACATTACTGTGTTCAACATAGAGGGATTATTTTAATCATTTATAAAGCAAATTTCGTCGGGACCGTGGTCTTACTTTGACATATCTGGGGTATTCAAGATATCCGTGTTCAAGATTTCGAAGTTTAGCTGTATTTTCTCAAATTTTCTGTATAATATCACGAGTTATATGTAGCTATAGCATTTCACACGCAAATATAATAAAAAACTTATTTTATCTGGAATTATTAAAACTACGAATTTCAGGACGCATTTGATTGACACATTTTTGCACTTTCACAAAGTAAACTTTATCCTTAATACTCAAGAAAAGTAGAAATTTTGTTGTGTAATAATGAAAAATATTAAAACCATAATCCAGAAAATTCAGAGTAGAAATGTGAGAAAGCAAAACCAACTCACCAGTATTGTAAGTCCGTGTCCAGTGTTGTGTTCAGAGTTAAACAAATTGAACACACCCGGTGAAAACGTAAATTTTTTTTTTTAAACAGGGCATGAGCTCTGTTATTGTTCATGTTTATGTCTCACCGGGTGTGTTCAATTTATTAAACTCTGCACACATCCAATGAGCACGGACTGACAATACTGGTGAGTTGGTTTTGCTTTCTCACATTTCTACTCTGAATTTTCTGAATTATAGTTTTCATAATTACGCTTACGATGTAATAAGGGTATGAACCCAAGTCCCAGATAAAGTCGCCCTCTGTATGTGTTCTGAGGATAGAGAGAGTATTGTGTTACATGTGAGCATTGTTGACCCAGATTTATGTTTCTTAGGAAGGACCTATGTGTGAAGGAATCTCTCCAACAGAGGCCAACGACCGTTTGACTGTGTATCAGGTATGTATGGAACATTCTGCTTATTTGAGTCTACTTTTTAAGTCACCTGAGTTAGGTGATCAGATGCTATGATGGGTTATGTACCTGTTTTAAGCAAGATGTTTTATGGTATGGCATTTTGGCTTTTTCTTGTCTGACTCATAACTTAAATACTATCAGGCCTAGAATAATAAAACTTTTTCAGCTGATACTTCTCAGGTAGAAGGTGTGTTGCACATTAAAATAGGTCACTGTCACCTTTAATTAAGATGATATGGCTAAATATGGTGAAATCCTCTAAGGCTCATAAATGGAAAACTATTTGACCTTGCCTAGAATCATTAACCTTGGTCAATTAATAATGCATCTTAGGTAGATATTGTGTCACACCCTACAAAAAGGTCATTGTGACCTTAAAATGATATATATTTTTTTAAAAGATCTGTTTTAATGGAGATAATCCCTATTGATATAAAGAGTATTGCACTATCCTTATTATGAAAGTTACATCAAGAAAATCATGAAAGTAGCACATTTTATTGCATGCTTGCTTGCCACACTGTTTGCATGAAACCCTTAGAGGCATGCATATATTGCTGCAAATTTTTCACAAAATGACACATGGTTTACATGAAATGGTACATGGGTTGCACGAAACAAAAAGCACATGAAAGTCATTTATTTCAATGGGGTAGTAGCATGTTTTAGGGTTTGAACATTTAAAAAGGCAGTGCCTATGTAATGGGCCTCTTGGTGTCTTTGTTTTTGTTTTTTTTAATAAAAATAATTTGATATAAATGTTCATGTGAATCTTTGGCTAACTGAATAAGCCGCAAAATCTGATTTAGTTTGAACATTTATTTATATTTTTCTACTTTTATTTGCAGTCGCAGTTTGACGAGTTGTTCAACAAATATGGAATATACTCTGCTGGAGAGCAGCTTTTTGGGCTCTCTGTAACAGAGTATCCAGGTCTTATGAGAATCAAGAAAGAACTAGGGCTTCTACAAAAGCTATATGGATTGTATTCCAATGTTATGACGGTCATTAATGGATACTTTGATATTCTTTGGACTGAAGTGGATATTGAAAAGATCAACAGTGAACTAAATGACATGCAAAACAGGTAAAATAGAAATGTGGCTCTGGCTTAAAGTAAGGGAAATTATGAGATACATGTAGACAAGAATTAGGAAAAACAATGATGATAAAAACGTGTCAAGTTTATGTTATGTTTTTAAAATTATCAAGAAGTTCATATTCACACAACGTCAAGTATTTCAGTTTTGGTAAAACTGCAGGTGTTAAGGTGCATGCATACATTCAGCTATATCTATAATCATCTCATTGTATTCAACTAGTGAAGTGTCAGACTGTATAAACAAAAGTTGGTGAGAACCATAAATAATAATTGTCAAAACAAGTTTATCAGAGTAAATGCAGAATTCTGGTATTTTTCTCATCAGAATATGTAAAGAAATTATAGAGAAGAAATACAGTTGAACTTTGCTTTTGTGGCAGGCAGATGGGTTTGATTGCTGGTGGCCAGATTGCTCTGGTAGCTAGAGCACCTGACGAGAGATTCAGGGGGTCAGGGTTCAAATCCGGGTCTGGTCTAGCTATCACATTTTTCCTCCTTTCCTATTATTCTATTTTGAACTTGGAATTCTCAAATGTGATGGATACATCGAATGAGTTGGAACTCCCAACCTTTCTTCATGTTATTTACCCTCAATATCTCAAACCCTTGGATATCTGGAAGTATTTTCTTGGTCCCATCAAGTTCAAGATAATGAGGTTTGACTGCATGCACAAAATGGTTTTGTGCTTTGTTTTTAAATTCAGAAAGCCCGAGTCCACCAAAAAATTGGAAGGTCAACCAAATGTTCTGGACTAGCTGGACCGTAGGTCCACTTAAAATTTAAACACCGTATTGAAAAATACACAGTAAAATTCCGTTTTTTCTATAAACCGACATATTAACAATAAATAAATATGGTAAAATTTGTTTTAGGTAAATATTTAGTTGAGTATATATTTTACATGTAATATTGATGACTACAATAACAGTAACATTGAGACGCAAGAACATTCAACACGGACCTTGAAAAAGAAGCATGTAAAATTCGTGCCAAATTAGTCAGTCTGTCCTTTGTTTATTTAATGCACAGAAAGGTGTGAAAATGTACACTGGGTAACAGGAAATCACTTCACTCCTGAACGCACACTGATGGCCAGGCTTGGAGATGATTAGAATTGATTGACAGCTGCATTTATGCATTGTTTATTTTTTTAGATCTTCAAACAGGCATGATTTATATTTTATGAACATGTTATCTGCATTTTCTTTTTTTCTGCTATATATTAAATCACAATTAAGAATCAAATAATTGCAGTTTATTTGAATAAATAATAATTTAAAAAAATAATAAATAAATAGATATACTTTGGTCGTTTTGCATCGTAGTAAAAAATTGTTCTAGCCATAGATACATGAAAAATTCACTCGTTTATATGTAAAACTTAATTATTGGGATTTTAAATTTTATCTACCGTTGGAAGCAAAATAAATGCTGGTTTTTATCATTGTAAATAAATGATATTAAAATAACAAATATTTTGAATATATAGATTGTGTTCTTTTTTTAAAATATTGAAAATATATTAAAGAATGTTGCTCAGAAACTCCTGACTAATTGATTTGTTCCAGTTGATTGGTTAAACTTATACTTTATTCATTAGTCTGACTGGACTGGGTACATATGTTAGTTTCAAGCCTTGTGTAATGAATTCATTCATTAATTCAAACATTTATGAAGATCCACCAGAATTTGAGAAGGTCCACCAATAATTTTTGACAAGTGGACCTGTGGTCCACCAAGGTAAAAAAGTTAGTGTCGAACCCTGAAAGCTGGATTAACTTTTTAACTTCTTTTTAAACGATGTGGAACCCACTGTATTCTAAACAGTACTGCATAAAATTATGTGGAACCCAATGTATTCTAGAAGCTTTCACAACTTATGTAATTTTCCTTCGTGAGTTAATAAATTAAAGGGTCATCTAAAATAGCAACAAAGAAGGTGCCTTGTAGAGAAGAATTTTAAAAATTCCCTAATACATAAATGCTCAATTTCTAATTTCTAATTGATTTCAGAGTCAATCACTGATTAAAGAAACATGCATGATAATGATTGTTACTAATGTATGGCTTCTGTTAATGTCTCTTTTGTTATATAAACCAAATTGGTCACATATCACATAAAATCCTAAGATACATGTAAGTTACCAATAGGTCTTGGTTCTTCATTTTCATTTAGATAGTAGATGAAAACTACAAGCAACAGAAGAAACTATGTCATAGTCAAGTTTTATATTCAAAGTAACAGCCTTTTGCATTTTTTTTCCATTTTTCTACACATTGGAGATTTTGCAAGCATTGTACCCAAGACCAATTATCAATCTTCACCAGAAGTCATATTAAAGTGAAATGGTCAAGTGTAGCTTTCACATTAACATCTATGTTTACTAGCTGCAATCATTTAGCATTTGTAAAAGTCACTGAAAGTTAGTTCTTGAGCATTATGGCAGTTTAAACTTTAGTGTATTTAAATAGAAGTTCATATTCTGTTTTAGTCACATGAAGGCAAGACAGAAATCACGAGAAAATAGTTTTTCCAAGATCAAGAACAAATTAATTAAAAGACTTTTAAAAGGCAGTTACCGGTATATGTGTAATCACTTGAAGTTTGAATTTTTGAATTTTAAGTTATGATGCAACATAGATTTCTATTTTGGTTATAGGTGCAGAAGGCTTCCAAAGGCACTTAAAGAATGGCAGGCATATCAAGATTTAAAGCAAAAAATCGACGACTTTAGTGAATCGTGCCCTCTGCTAGAGTTGATGTCGAACAAAGCAATGAAAGAACGTCATTGGGATAGAATTGCCAAGCTTACAGGCCACACTTTTGACTTTGATTCTGAAAATTTCACTCTGAGAGATATTATGAAAGCCCCTCTTCTAAAGCATAAAGAGGATATTGAGGTCAGTTTCTAGTAAATTGCCAAATGCATTTTATACAATGCTATATAAAAAACAAAAGAAAAACCAAAAACAATATTTCTTATAAAGATGTAGCACTTGATTTTCTTTTTTAGGATGTTTGCATTTCTGCAGTAAAAGAGAAAGATATTGAAGCCAAGCTTGCTCAGGTTGTCAGTGACTGGACTGGAAGGATTCTCTCTTTCTCTAATTTCAAAGCAAGAGGAGAATTGTTACTAAAAGGGGGTGAAACATCAGAAATAATCACATTTCTGGAGGACAGCTTGATGGTTCTGAGCTCCTTACTTAGCAACAGGTTTCAAATATAAAAATATTGTCACTCCAGGGCTCAACATTAAAGTTTCTCCATTTGTCTTCGTAAAGTTCATTTGTATGTGCATATCCATATCCACTTACTTAATATATTTGAAGATGATGGCTCCAAATTTGAATTTTATGTTGGAAGACTCAATATAAAATTTTTATTGGATATTGTATGATAGAGATGTGCAGCCAGGAGTACTGGTTTTGTTTAGTCATCATACACAAGTTTCCTTCTTTGCATGTGATCCTAAATTGATACTGAATGCTATACATATTATTTTAGGTATAATGCCCCTTTTAAAAAGACAATTCAGGAATGGGTAGCAAAACTGTCTAACACAACAGACATTCTTGAGAATTGGTTGATTGTTCAAAATCTTTGGGTGTACTTAGAAGCAGTCTTTGTTGGTGGAGATATTGCCAAGCAGCTACCACAGGTAAGGATATGTGTCAATCATTTTCACACAGCTTTAGCTATATGTAACCCCTTTCCCTTTTCTCCCAAAGATGAAGTTGGTGGTGGGGGGTGGTATATAGGAATCACCTAGTATGTTTGTCTGTCTATCCCATATCATGTCCAAGCAATAAATCTGGCATGGAGAAACATTAGAAGTCCAGACTTGGCAAAAAGAGGTCGCTGATTACCAGAGTTTTTATCTTAAACTGGAGCTTGGAACATATGGACATAATAAAGATCATGGAGTTGGTAAGATTGAATTAAAAGTATTGAGCTTTTTCAAAAAAATATTTTCAGGATATTTTGAACAATAGAGGGCAGGTAGTTTTTTGTCTGTTTAATGTCCCTTGGAGAATTTTTCTCTCATATTGAGATGCTACCACTTGCTGGTGGAAAGCTGCAAATTTAGACCTGTACTTGGCATTTAGGGTCTTTGAGCTGTGAGAAATCTTTTCATGCCAGCACCTACTGTGACGGGGGGCCTTGGTTTATACTGTTGCATCCAAAGGACTGGTCTCCACATCCCACAGTGGGATTCAAACCCCCCCCGACGTAAAGATAATCTCCTTACTCTGCAAATAATCTAGAACAAATGCTCTAACCACTGAGCCATGCAGCTTGAAGGCAAGTAATAATTTGACCTGAGTCTAAGCTAAGGTCATTTGAACAAGGTCACAGGGTTAAGAAGTGTGAAATTCTTGTCAATGCTATAGTTTCGTAGCACTGATATCTTCAAAAATCTTCTCCAGTACTCTAGACATCAAGCAGTTAAATTTTTAGCAAGATGATGATGAGTAATGAGTTCTATTATAAAATTGTGCAATTCATGGTACAAGCTGACTACAGGGTTCAGGTTCCAGGGATGGGTTAAGGTTGGCATATATTGAAAAAGCATTATATCTATAAAATTTTCTACTAGCAGACAAACTCTTTGCATGATGAAAGTAAATTCTTAACCTTTTTTTTTTACCAAAACTATGAATTTCTTGGCCCCTGGGTCCATTATTGAGGCCTTAGGGTGGGGATTATTTGGTCATGTATTGAAAAACACATCATTAAAATTTTCTCTACTCGGAGACATTAAATAGATTAACTGATCACATGATCACTTAGCCCTCTGCCAGAAGAATGACAGATCCATAGCTCCTGGGCCAATGATTCAGGCCACAGGTTTGGGCTTAGCTGCAGATTTGTAGCTCTCTGGTCTGAAAAAAATTGGGATGAATGATTAGAGTACGTACCACCCATTGAAAAAGTGTATATTTATTGCACACAAAAAGGTGTGCTGTTTCTTGATTTATTTCTCCTTGTATTTAAGCTGCCATCTCCAAATATTACTAACAATGTGATCCTGGCCTCTAAATATATTCTTTACTACTTTCACAACAAAACTGTATGTGGGACTGTGTGTTTGTTGGACTGCCCAAAATGGCAACGTAAATATGGGTGAAATTTTCAATGGTCTCAATTTCAGGCCCAGGGGAGCTATCAACAACAGTTTTGGGGAATGTTTTGTAATTTTTGACCCCATGACTTTGGCTTGGAAGTTTGAACTACTTTTCAAAAAAATTAACATTTGTGATAACTTTCTGTTATTTGTCTAAAAAATTTGAAAGTTTTAAGGCAAGGTTATTACAGTTATTATTACCTAGGACCATATAATTATTGTCTATTTTTATTGTATGAAAGAATATCACAATATGCTATGTAACTCATTATTTTACTTTTGATGTAAGATGACTTTAATTTTTAGGAAGCAAAAAGATTTCAAAACATTGACAAATCTTGGGTAAAGATAATGCTGCGTGCGCATGAATGCAACAATGTTGTTCAGTGCTGTGTTGGGGATGAAACCCTTGGACAGCTTTTGCCACATCTTCTTGAACAACTCGAATTATGCCAGAAGTCATTGACAGGGTATGCATTTGTTGATCCTCTATTGACTAGAAATAAATTGCATCTAAAAATGATACCATAGACCAGGGATGTGTATATTAATGGGATTGGCAAATTCTTCAGCACCATGTCAATTTTCAAAACATCACACAAAACCTTGCAAGTTTTTTCAAACTTTATTTAAGCCCATGGGCCTCTTGTTTTTGAAGCAATAACTCAAACAGTTTTTATTAGCTCACCTGAGCCGAAGGCTCAAGTGAGCTTTTCTGATTGAAATTTGTCCGTTGTCTGTCGACGTTGTCATAAACTTTTCACATTTTCATCTTCTTCTCAAGAACCACTGGGCCAATTTCAACCAAACTTGCCACAAGGTATCCTTGGGTAAAGGGGAATCAAGTTTGTACAAATGAAGGGCCACGCCTTCTTCCAAGGGGAGATATTCATGAATTCATGAAAAATTAATGGCATCATTTAAAAATCTTCTTCTCAAAAACCATTGTGCTTGAAAATATGAAACTTATATGGAAGCATCCTCAGGTAGTGTAGATTCAAATTTGTTCAAATCTTGACCCCCAGGGGTAGGGTGGGGCCACAATGGGCAATCAAAGTTTTACATAGGAATACATAGGAAAAATCTTTAAAAATCTTCTTCTCAAGAACAGCAAAGCCATGATGGGTCATATTTATATGGAAGCATCCTCAGGTAGTGTAGATTCAAGTTTGTTCCAGTCATGACCCCCGGGGGTAGGGTGGGGCCACAATGGGGGATCAAAGTTTACATAAGAAAACATAGGAAAAAGCTTTAAAAATCTTCTGATCAAGAACAGCAAAGCCATGATTGGTCATATTTATATGGAAGCATCCTCAGTGTAGATTCAAGTTTGTTCAAATCATGACCCCCAGGGGTAGGGTGGGGCCTCAATGGGTGATCAAAGTTTTACATTGGAATATATAGGGAACATCTTTAAAAATCTTCTTCTCAAGAACAGCAAAGCTATGATTAGTCATATTTAAATGAAAGCATCATCAGGTAATGTAGATTCAAATTTGTACAAATCATGATCCCCTGGAGAATAGAGGGGCCATAACAGGGGATCATACAAAGGAATACAAAGGATATATCAATCAAAATTTTCTTCTTAAGAACAGCAAAGCCATTATTCGTCATATTAATTCAAAAGCATCCCTATGAAGTTTAGATTCAAGTTAGTTCAAGTAACCCCCCCCCCCCCCCCCCTTCCGAACCAGTTTTATATTTAAACTTTTCAAGACTGAACTGATTTCTGCTTTTTCCTAGCCAGAGTGCTCAGGTGAGCGATGTGGCCCCTGGGCCTCTTGTTGAAATATTGATTTCTAAATAAAGGATAAATAAGCATTAAAATATGTTAATAATATGTATGATTTTATAGCCTGTTATAAACAGAGAGTAATTAATTATTTATACCGAAATTTTTATTTAACGATAATTTGTGTTTTTAGCTCACCTGAGCTGAAAGCTCATTTGAGCTTTTCTGATCACCCGTCGTCCATCCGTCTGTCCATCTGTCCGTCCATCCATCTGTAAACTTTTCACATTTTCAACTTCTTAAGAACCACTGGGCCAATTTTAACCAAACTTGGTGCAAAGCATCCTTGGGTAAAGTGAAGTTTAAATTATTAAAGTGAAGGACCAACTTCCCTTCAAAGGGGAGATAATCAAAAAAATACAAAATTCAGGTTGGGTCATTAAAAAATCTTCTTTTCAAGAACCACCTGGCCAGAAAAGCTAAAACTTACGTGGAAGCATCCTGGGGTAGTGTAGATTGTAAATTGTTCAAATCCTGACCTTTGGGGGAAGGGTGGGGCCACAATAGGGAATCCAAGTTTTACATTGAAATATACAGTAAAAATCTTTAAAAATCTTCTTCTCAAGAACCACTTGGCCTCAAAAGCTTAAACTTATGTGGAAACATCCTAAGATAGTGTAGATTCTAAATTGTTCAAATCATGACCCCCAGGGGTAGGGCGGGGCCACAATAGGGAATCCAAGTTTTACATTGAAATATATAGTAAAAATCTTTAAAAATCTTCTTCTCAAGAACCACTGGGCCAGAAAAGCTTAAACTTATGTGGAAGCATCCTGGGGTAGTGTAGATTCTAAATTGTTCAAACCATGACCCCCAGGGGGTAGGGCGGGGCCACAATAGGGAATCCAAGTTTTACATTGAAATATATATAGTAAAACTCTTTAAAAATCTTCTTCTCAAGAACCACTGGGCCAGAAAAGCTTTAACTTATGTGGAAGCATTCTGGGTAGTGCAGATTCTAAATTGTTCAAATCATGACCCCCGGGGGTAGGGCGGGCCAAAATAGGGAATCCACGTTTTACATTGAAATATGCAGAAAAACTCTTTAAAAATCTTCTCAAGAACCACTGGGCCAGAAAGGCTGAAACTTATAAGGATGCATCCTGGGGTAGTGTAGATTTTAATTGTTCAAATCATGACCCCTGGGGGTAGGGTGGGGCACAATATGTACCATAAGGGGGGGGGGGGGGGGGAGAGAAATCAGGTGAAAATCAGCAAGGCCAAAGTTACTCAGGTGAGCATTGTGGCCCATGGGCCTCTTGTTATTGTGCAGGTGATAATTGGTGTTGGACCGTTAGAATGTTTGAGAATAGCAAATTTATGTATATACACATGATTATCATCCTATGGGGTAATCTCACTGAATGGTATATGCACCGCATTGACAGATCTATGTGTTGTTTGTTTATCTCCGTGCAGAATATTTAAACTTATTGATTAAAAAAATGCTAGATAATTATAGGAGTGAAACGGTTCACCGCGGTATTGATTCGCCGCGGTATTTTTTCTGGGTTTGATACACGGTGCAAAATCTCTAATTTTCGGTTCGGTTCATTTTTCGGTCGGGATCGTTATTCAGTTGGGTTTGGCATAAGGTAAAACACGTACAGTACCTGCATCGTTATTCTTTACAGGATACACGATACGATAGGATAAACGGACGATATGATAGGATACACGCACGATAGGACAGGATACACGCACGATAGGATAAACGCAAAATACGATAAACGCAAAACACGATAGACCTAATAAACGATCTTCACGATAGGATAAACGCAAAACCTGATAGGATTGTTTCAAAATGCGAAACGTTTATTGACAAGACGAAAATTTTCCTTTTTACTAGTTAAATAATTTTAATTACTTACAAAGCCGCAAATCTAAATGTTAAAATATATTAATTTTATCATGATAAAACATTTGAGGTAATGGTGCTTTGTAAAAAATACATGTACGTTTTTTCCGTCAATAAAACTGATCGTCATCAAATTCAAACTGTAATTATTTAAGATTAGTTCCAATCTATGATGCAAATTAAGCGATTGTTTGTGTAATTATACAAATGTCTAAATTCCATCGAATCATTAAATTTGAATTTTGAATTGTTTAATTACGGAGATTTTAATTTATAGGTGGCTCAAAAATTCTGTAGACAAGCAAAGTTTTACACCCATGTGCAATAGATTCACGAAACGCTTTAAATATATTCATTATTTTAATAAATGAAACCTTATGAAATTCATAACAAACATTGATTATTTTTATGGAATAACTCCATGTAAAAAAGTGAAATATTTAGATTCAATATCTTGTGCTAGAAGTCTGCGATGTATCTAAAATCACTTTTAATAATCTGTATTTAATAATTCAAATCTTACAAAAAAAATTACTTGTCATAATTTGGGGGGTGGGATTTGAAAAAAAAAAAATCATTATTATTATTTAATGTTAATGCTTTCTCCTCAAAGTTTTTATCAACTTGTTTAAAATTTATATTTTATATAAATTAATTTTATTTTTATTACTTTTTAAACACATGACTTGCTGAAATTGCTAGTTGCATTGCCACAGACTGAGCACTGGACTGTGATTAAATAATCTCTCCTATATATAAATATATATGTTACACATATCCCGTGCACATAGAAAGTATTTACATATTCCAAGTACATACATTGTATAAAATTATGTATATATGTGGAAGGAGACCAGCCAAAACAAATTGAATTCAATAAAATTAATAAACATCACTAGATCTGTCATCATCTAGTGTCCGAAAAAAAAATACCGCATTTCCATTCTTTTGTATTTATTCTCTGGTATTTCTAATACTATAGGCATGTAAGATTAAGAAGGGAGCATGCAGTCATATACATAAGTTACAGTGTACCAACATGTGTAGTATAGAGTAGAAATATAATGATTATATTGCCCATCAACAATAATAATGTCTTTAGCCTCTTTTGCTTGCTTTTCAAAACATTTCTTTTTAGACCCCCGCCCCCATTGTTTGCTTTTCAAAACATTTCTTTTTAGACCCCCGCCCCCAAAGAGATGAAATTGCTTTCTACGTATGCCTATGTTATAAACATTTACAATAACAGAATTTGTATCTACTATAGACGCGTGTATGCTAAGCTTACAATGTATGTGAATATATTTATTGGGTACTTAAACTTTGTATTAAATAAATAACATTGAATTATTACATACTCTTGTTTACAACATATTGGAACATATTACACAAAAAAAAAATTATAAATTAATTTCCACAATACGAAAAGTGGATTTTCAGACTGAATAATTGTAAATTATTGCTATTAGACTTTGTATTAATTGTTACAAAATTTATCTTATATAGAACTACATCGGCAAAATTAGACAAAACTTTGTAATAAATTATGAAAGTCTCAATCCCACTTAAGGCATAGTCAGCGGGGAAGAAGGGGGGGGGGGTGTTCCATAACCACTCAAAAAAAAGATCCGATTCAAAGAGCATAAAATAAATAAATAAATAAATAAATAAAAATATATATTGACTTCTTGAATATAGTCAAGTATTAAATGCAATCGATAAACACTAATATTAAATTCAAGGTATTTACTCGTTTTGTGTATCACGGCAGATCCGGGGATTTCTTTTAATTTTTTTTACGTGTATCTTTGAGGCGC